CCTACAGCAGGCCCAGACACCACAGCCATTATGCAGTAGCCCATGGCTCCTGCATAAACATATATCAATGGAATCCATGCAGCACCATTTTATTGGGCCGATTCTGGAGGCCTGCCCTTCAGTGGGTGAGACCTACCCCAGCTTGGCGGGGGTGGGCCCCATGACACCATTGAGCCTCAATCCAGCCTTTGTTTTGGGCATGTCCCCGGCGTTTTTGTTTCAGTTCTGGCCGCATTGCGATACTCTGGCATCGCAATTTTTTCGCAGAGGCATCCTTCTTTCCCTTGACGCACTAAATAGTTCTCTCGCCCCTCACGCTTTATCGTTCTGGTCCTATGCACAAATACAACATTTTCTTCTCTCTCAAGGAGTGGGTAATGCCTGGTCCAGGCCTCCCACCCCTTTAGAGGCTCTTTGCAACAAAAAACACCCTGAGAGGCATGTGATTTCTACTCTATATTCCTTTCTATTTAACGACGTCACCGCACATAGGAACAAATCTTGCATCAAGTGAGAACGGGATCTAGGTATTTCTTTATCCGGCTGAGTGGGAGTTTGTCTGTTCACTTGTACACAAAGGCTCCATGAACACAAGGAATGCGGTTATATATTTTCAATGATACAAAACCCATTCCCTTCTCCACAAATTTCTCCCCACTGTCTCTGATCGATGTTGGCGTTGTGGTCTGGAAGAGGGGACGCTGCTCCATGTGTGGTGGTTGTGCTCCGGGTTGAAACCTTTCTGGGAAAGAGTGCACCAACTGATTTCCAAGATCACAGATTTAGCTGGATTTCTCTCCAGCACAATATCTTCTACACCACACTTCCATTTCCAGGAAGGTGTATCGTCGCTCCCTGGCCATGTATGTGATCTTGGCAGCGAGACAATGTATTCCATGCCATTGGCGCTCCACTAAAACGCCGTCATTGGAGGAATGGTTTTGTAGACTGGATAGGATGGAAGAGATAGAGGCGCTTATCGCAATAACTAGATAACCTTTCCAAATTTTCTGCTTCCTGGCATGGTTGGACCCAATTTAAGCTATCATCAGGATATTTAGACCTCCTCTCTCGTAAACCTCCTCACATGATCGGGCTTTCCACCCCTAGGTACATTGCACCCTGTCTTACAGAGACTTCTCTCCATTTAGTTTCTGCTTATACATGCAAGGAATGGGAGAATCCCTTGTTTTACAGCTTCTTTTACCCTCTATTAACGTTCCTTTTCACCCCCCCCCTTTTTTATTTCCTCTCTCTTTTTTCTCTTTCTCTTTCACTTTCTTTGCCTTTCCTTCTTATTTCCTAAGCGTTCAGCTGTCTGGCCTTAGTCTTATCAGTGGCCCAGTATCACACCCCCTTATTTGCGTTGGTCTCTGCTGGGCTCTGATGGGACATCATTTGCTATTTACTTGTTCTGGAGTTTCACCTCCAGTCATCACTGTTTGCCTTTAATGGTTTCTAGGTTTTTGTACATTTTATTGGTTATGATATATTGATCATTTTCACCCTGTGCTCAGGGTCTGTTCTCAATTGCTGTCTGAGTGTATTATGCTATGCATGTATTGCTTTTTTCTGTCAATAAACACTTTAAGGAAAAAAAAAACAATAATGTCTAGTATGCATGGGACAGTTGCAACCCTTATCTTTATATATAGTATGTGAATGTGTCTGCATATGTGTATATATACACCTTCTGCTTCTTGCATGATTGGTCTCAGCCACAATGGAATTAAAGGGTGTGATTTACCCTGTGGTGTTTCTTTCCAATGTATAGCTAACGACTAACTGAAAGGGACAGTTGGTTTCCACAAAAACTCGTTCTGGGATAGACCTCTCTCTTGTGCCTCTCTCTTTTTATCTTGAATATTTAAAAAGTATCTATAGTCAAAAATTTTTTAACTATTTGGATAGGGTGGGAAGGATTAGAATCCCTGTCAGGGGCTCCATATAGACCACCAAATAGCAGAAAAACCTGGCAGGGGTTCTACTCTATCCCCATTCTATCCAAAGCTTTATGGAAGTTTGGCTATAAATACAATTTAAAGCCTTCTCTGTTTTAAGGAAGTAGCATGTCTTTTCCAAATATGACTTCCTAGACTATTTAACACACTTACTTTGGCTTAGAGGTTAGAACTTCTGCCTTGTAGCCCTGATTTCATCCCACACATGCTCGTAAGTTATTTGACTCCTGTTTAAATTGGCCATAGCATGTAAGATAGGGATATTAGATTGTAAACTCCTTGAACACATGGACTGATAAGAATGCACAATATGTAAAGTGCTGTACAAATTGTCAGCACTATAATAGCTAAGTTCTTCTTAAATCTGCAAAATTCCCCTTGAGTGGTAGAAGACGACTGCGTGCACAGGCTAATGTTCAATTTTCTAACAACATTTTCCATCAGTTTTAACAGAATAAATGTTCACTTCAATGACGGCCTAGGTCAGCCTTTCTCAACTGGGGTGCCACCAGAGGTCTTCAGGGGTGCCGTGGTGTCAAGGCTGTCAGTTGAGCCTAAGCACCTGATCCCCAGCTGCACTGTACATGGCACTGGAAGCCATCAGTCCGCTGAGCAAAGTGAGAGCAAAGGTAGAGGGAGTGTATTCTGTGCTCTCTGCCTCCCCCTAGAGTTCAGTACCTGGCTGTGTGAGCAAAGGTAAGGTACTGTAACTTTTCATAGGGCTGTATAAATGTGTTTGAATGTTTGTGTATGTGTATACGTGTACACATGTGTGTACATCTGTGTGTGTGTGTCTGTACATGTGTCGATGTATCTGTGTGTGTGTGCTTGTGTACGTGTACATGTGTCTATGTGTATGTATGTACGTGTGTGTGTGTGTACATGTGTCTGTGTGTGTACGTACGTTTCTGTGAGTGTGTGTACATGTGTCTGTGTGTGTACAAGTGTCTGTACATGTGTTTGTATGTGTATGTTTACATGCGTTTATATGTGTGTGTTAAAGGGGGAGCAGTTGGGGGTGTTAAAAGCAGCTCAATTGCATGGTTTTACCACCCTCCAACCTCACAGGTGAACAAGGCCTTGGTTCACATCTGTGTTGCTGTGTATAGGGCAGCCCATTCATTTCAATGGGCTGCCTTACCTGCAGAAATGCAGGGAAAGTCATACCTGACCCTTTTTTTAAAATTGCACCACACCAAAAACCAGGTTTGCCAATGTAAGGGGTACCCCTAAAGAGAAGAGCATTTGTCTGCATGTCAGAAATGAGTGTGATTTCGCATGCGTTCCGAGACAAATAGTAATGTGAACCAAGCCTTGGACAGGGGTGCCCCATGACTTAAAATACTTTTCAAGGGTGCCCCGACTGGAAATAGAAACACTGGCCCAGGTAATTGTGTGCTATTCTTGGCCAGAGCCCAATATTACTGATGTTATTAATTGTGAGCTCCTCTCAGTCAGGAAAGGCTTGGAAGGTCAGGAAGAGCTTGAAGCTCATTTTAGCAAACTCTCCCCAGTGCTGGAGATATGCGAATTACTGTGCTGACTGCAGGCACATATTTTGGACCTGCCCACAGATTCAAGATTTTTGATCCAAGGTCACACAATTTATTGTCCAATTGACTATTAAATTAATTCCACTGAAAACTGAATTATATTTGCTTGAATTGGTGGACTCCTTGGCCTTCCACCGAGTTCTCAGGATCCTCATAAGTTTGTTGTTATTTTATGCAAGGAAGGCTATCACATTAAAATAAAAATCAAAGGAGGCCCCTACCTTCGATTTTTTGGAAATCATTCATTAATACAGCTGTATCCCTTTATAAGACTACTTACAGTACCTGTCTTGTAGGTTTATTTATTTATTTTTAGTGCCTTTTAAGTTTTTTTGTTTTGTTTTTTTTTTGCTGTTACACTATATTTTAAGACATGGAATGCCCAAAGGTTCTGTTTTGTATTACCTTTACCTTTTATTATGAAAATAAATAAACAAAATTTTTTAAATTAAAAAAAAATTTTTTAAGTGCTAACAGAGGTTAGACAGACCCAAAACCAATATTGCTTGGAGAAATGTTGGGCATGCCGCAATTTAGCTGGCTTATGTTCAGAGGCTGGAGCATAAATTCTATAACAAATCACAGTTGTTAGTTAACTCCACATATACATGATATGTAGTATGCGCATCTTCCTTGCAAGCATATAGTACCTTTCATTAGCATACAATTTGCTTGTTCTTGCATGATAGATGCACCAGCCATATCCTTTAGTAAATCAGGCTCACTGTCCTGAGTGTGCATAAACATGTAAAATAACAGAGCCCTTTAGTTAAGCTATACAAAAGTACAGAGATTTGTTATTTAATACAGTTATACTGGGATTTGGATTTTAGGTCAGGTAGTTGACAAGGTAGCAGCTGTCACATTTTAGATGTCCACTGATACTCAAACTTATACAATATAATTAAAGTTAATTAATAGTGGAAAATACAGATTTTTCATAAGACTGCACAATTATAATCATTTTATATTCAGATTCTTGCATAAGGTTGGTTTTGACTAGTCCTCTTTAAAATGTATGAATATTCTTTGTTAAACAATACAAGATCTATTAAGCACCTATCATATATGCTGAAGTATGGCTGAAAGCTTTCAGAAGGTGGAGACCTTTAGTTTCAGCTAGAAAGTGAATGCCAGTTAACACAGGCCAGACTACATTTGAATCCTTCTGTTTTACACAATAAATTGTTAGCTTTCTTCCTTTGGCAGTGACAGGTTTTGCATGCTCATCATTTTACCGTTTTTATTATTTGCAACTCAACACTTTTCTGCACAGTTGGAATAAGGAATTTGTGTAAATTCTTTTCAAAAAAGACCCTGTGGTTCTAAGAAAAAAATGACTAAAAAGCATTAAATAAATGAAACAAGCAATAAAAGAACAACAGCAAAATAACTGATCTGTGAACAATGCAAAGCATCAAAATATGGCACGAAAGAAAATAAAAAGTGACAGCAGTAATTTATACAATATGGTGTCTATAATCACCTTCTGTATTATCCAGTACTGTACAGTCAGTTTGGTCTTTGCTGCAATACTCTGCAAAGGTATTTGATTCCAATGACTGGGTCATTGTGTTGGGAGCTGTGAAGAAACAGACTCATTGGCATTACATTCATGGTTTTATAGCTTTCCAGACCAAGATACAGTAATTTATACTGCATAAAACCGCCTTACATGAATAAAGTATTTATATGGACTGACATAAACGTCAACCTCGTAATACAAATCACAGCACTAAAGTGTTCCAGTCACATTTCTGCCAGTATTTTGGAAAGCTAATACTTTATACATGGAATTGATGGCCGAGATTCAGGCAAAACTATGCTGAACATTCAATATCAGTCATTCCCCCTCCAGCTCACCTTTGGGTAGCCGATCCACTTCCATAATAAAATCATCTTTTAAAAAGAGGAATCCCACAATGGAGAAGAGATAGACCAGAATCAGGGCAAGCAAGGCAGTCAGAAGAATTGATCTACCATTACGTGTCACACTCTTGATCACATTAAACAGCGTCTCTTCGCGATATATCAGGTCAAACAGCTGGAGGTGCAGGCAATTAACACAAATTAATGAGGCAACCATTGACAGAAATACTGTAAACTTTCCCCTTTCATAGTAATAAATAACATAGGCTTAGAAAAATCAATGTTTTTAGCTCAGTAAATATTCTGTGCTCTTTCCAGTGAAATAGTTTACTGGTTACTCTGTAAAGTGCTAGAGGCAACTTTATCATGTATTCTAGCTATAGCCTTGGAATGCTAAAAGTGTATCTAAACCTAAGAACAAAAACTTAGTATTTTGCAGGTTACCAGTCCTTAGATGTGCTGGCTGCATTTGTTTTCTTTTTTGTTTTGGACTAAGTAAATAATAAGTACAAGTACAAGAAAAATACCCCTTGATATTGTCAGAAATTCAGAGTTCTTGGATCTTCTTGTACACTAAACTGGTATCTCAATCAATTACATCTTCCTTCCAAGCCATCTTCTGTAAACTACAAATCCCCTTATGTAGTGGAGATATAGTCCTGTCCTACGGTGACAACGTTATGCCTCCTCTGATACAGTACAGCAAGAAGGTCTTGTCACCTTAGGATAGGAAGTTACAGTCAGGATCACCAGATGAAAAAAGAAAAAAAAAATCCTAAAAACATAACCAGCCACCACATCAACATTATTGGTGGTGAGTTGCACTATGCTACATTTTTGTTCCTTGGTTCAGATACACTTTAATCAAAATGCCAAAGATTTGTATAAAGTGATGCAGAAATAGAGATATTCAACAGTCAAAATAAATCTCTCAAGCAACCTATACTGTATATAATTATACAAATTTGATATAGCCATACATTTGATGAGAAATGTTCTCTACGAAATACTTTAGTGGCAAATGTTTAATACTCATGGCACGGTTTAATAGTCAAGTGGCATTGAGCTACATGTGACTAAACTTAGCCATCCCAGAGTCTGAGGTAGATTTTGCCCAAGATATGTTAAAAAAAAGATTGAAGTGATAATGATCTCTATCAGTACTATCATGAATATCTGCCTAGATTATGGCAGCTTCAAATATATAAGAAATTTGAATATAAAAAGTACAGTATGTACAGTAGATGCAACATAGCAAAAATGTTAAGCTTTATAGAATGCTATGTCTGTTAAAGAAAACCAGTACACAGGGGATACCTTTACTAACCTTGATCAAGCATGCATAATTCAGAGGCAATTCTGAATCCTTGACCTGCATATTTGTTCCAGGTCAGTATCACAGAAAGTAAAAAAGTTTGACCTAACAGCCATGCAATGAGTATTTTTAAGAGCAATTCTGTGGAAGTTATATTAGTCTCTGTTTGATTATTTTACAAATACTGGTAATACATCAATCCTCGTCCGGATAATCCATATACAGTATGTTCCTATGAACACATTTTTTTTTACAGAATTACAGATACAAATCACTAAAGCTCTGTAATCATTAATACATCCTTAAATGTATCGGTTTTTAAATGCTATTAGTGCGAGTACCTTAACTCTTTCGCTGCCAGGTCCATACGGTTTTACACACACTGTAGCCACTGATACTGTGTGCATAGCTGACAAGCAGACTTCTGCCTGTCAGATGGAAGCATTCTGGTGGCAGCACTGCTGCCAAATTGCTTCCACCCCCCCCCCCCCCAAGTAAGGTGCGCTTTTTTAGACCCTGCATGTCTGGAAGAGAAGTTGTCACCAAAAATTATGACACAGGGGAATTCTTGTCTCCTATGTGTTAAGGTAAACAGTTAATTTAAAAAAAAATGTTTTTGTAATTAACTTTTTATCCTAATTGCAAAAAATTAACTTTACATAAAATCCTCCACCCCAAAATAAAATTTTGATGCCCCCCCCCCACCACCAAATACACGCACATAAAAACATAAAACGCACGCATTGGGGGCGCCTACTCATGAAAACGATTGTGATACACGTTACATATCGCTGTGCACGCCATGCAATATTTCTAAAACCAGACCTCCTCCATAACGCCAAACTGATAGCCTATAGGAAGCTTTTGAGGCGTCGACTATGGAAAATATAGGGTACTGAAGTCTGTCACCATTTCACGGGCGCATGCAAATTTAAGGTTTGACACGTTGGGTATCTATTTACTCAGTACAACCTCATCTTTTATATTTTAATAAAATATGTTACCATAAAATTGGGTGGTAATATCATGTGACATTAAAAATTGCAACTACCATATTTTTATTTTTAGGGTGTCTGCTTATATAATGTTTTGGGGGTTTATGCAATCTTCAGGGCTAAAATGATTTGTTAAGCATGTGTACAAAAAAAATGCAAAAACGGTTTTGGCAGCAAAAAATGCTAAAATGATCGTGAACCCCTTACATAAGGCCACTGAAGTGATTATCATAGGATGTACATCTTTGTCTGCCAACCTCTCCCCTCCAGAGCTCTTGAAAGTACACAGATCAGATGGTATTTCTCAGTCTCCAGAGGGCAGGGGGTGGGGATCTGACATGACACCCTGTATAGTACAGTGCTGAGTGTAAGCCAACACCTGAGTAAAGGGAATGGACACACTCCCTATGCACAGTTTCATAGGTAAACTTGCACATCTGAGGCTGTCAATCATCTGTTGTGTGCTGGGGGTAAGGGGAGGGGCACCATGACCATGGATTGCCTTGCGTTATGGAAAACCATCAGAAATGTCAATGCAGATAGCAGAAGGAGAAAATAGCCAGGATCTACCATTGGTGCTATGGATCGAAGCATGTACCCTATATATGAGGATATTTTTTGTTCATTTTTCAAAGGTTTACAACCACTTTAACTTGACTTGGTATCAACTGCTGGTGGACATTAGAGAGGGGGAAGGAGAGGCAGCACAAGTAACCAATCAGTGTTACAGTGAAAGGAGCATGCTAGTAGGAGGAGCAGAGTAACAGCGACATGAAGTCCTCAATGTGACCCTTCTCCTTTCAATGGTGTGACAAGGTAGGGTTGCAAAAAAGACCAGTAAGCGAATCTGAAACTGTATGTGAAAAGTTTAGGTCCCCTGTGCTGTTCAGCAGGTGCTTTGTGCCAGATCCCAGTACAAAATGGCCAAAAATGCAAATGCTCTGAGCATGTAAAACACCTCTCATATGTATTTCAAATTTCATCTGTGTACTTAGCTGTTTGCCTGGAGCTCAGCTTTAAGTGGAGTTTTCACTCTTGACAGCAGCTAGAGTACTTGCTTCTAATATCGACTCATGGCTAAACTATTTACAGGTCTCTGGTGGCTAGACCCTGCTAACTCTAAAAATCTGTACCGGCCTGTTGTCAAGATATTTTTTTCTGTTGCTAAAGCTTTGTTTACAGTAGCACATACCAGAATGCTGTAAAACAGTTCATGAGCAAAGACTCCCAGGACACTAGTTAGGATGTATCCAACATGGTAAAGAAATTCCATATCCATCACCATAGCCTTGTAGCCCCGAATGAAGGTGCCACGATTGCCCACAAAGCTAACTACAAAAACAATTTTATTCGTCAACTGCAAAGAATGGAAAAAGAGAGATATGTTACTGCTGGAGGATCACATAGCTTGTACTACTGGAAGTAATGAGCATTCAATTACATCTGAATCAAGACTGGTAGGTTTATATGAGAGAAGATATGTTCAAAACACAGTTCAAAAGACAGTAATGTACAGAGACTAATCATAGTTCACCTTTCAATTTAGCAGGTTTCTGATTGGCTGCTAGAGGTCACTGCACATTGCTTGCTACCTTAGTAAATACGAGTTAATCATATCTATGCTTTGTGCATTCATAGTACTATAAAGAAGAATTCAAGAGAACAGAACCTGAAAATGTATATAATTAAGGAGCAGAAGACTTGCTATGTGATGACTGTATCACGATATTACTGATTGCTTTCAGTGAAAATATTTAACCGACTCATTCAGCATCTATTTCATGCCAAAACTGGAACAAAGACTGGTATTTAGAGACTGACATTAAAGACATTCAAATTATGCATCTCCCAAAATAAAGCCCTTGGCGTTAAGAATGACAGAATGGAGGTACTGAAAAGTTAACATTTTGTAGTTGCACTGACAACATGCAGTTCCATTTAGTGCTCTTACATTTAGTGCTCCCAATATGTAAAGCGTAGGGCCTATTCCTAAGTAGTACACAGAACGCAGGATTAATGCCACAATAAGGGGTCGTAGACCATAGCGCTTGGTGAAGAGAGACATAACTGAGAAACAGACCATGGCCCAAAAAAGAAGGGAAATTAGAGGGGAATCCAGCACTCCTGTGAAACAAAACACAAAATATTGTTTAGAGGGAAATTCTGGATCCACATACATAATCAAGGAATTAATATAAATCATTTTAAAAAACATCAGATACTTAAGCAGGAAATCAAATACATATGCAGATTTTTTCTTATTCGCCCAGTGCAGGGCAATAATTCTCTCACTGTGCAACTGTAGTAATCCTAAGCGAAATAATTTAAATCATACAGACAAAATTCTCTGTGTCAAATTTCCACAGTTGCTCTGATCAAAGTCACCAGTGTCCAATAAAAACAAAGGTTTCAAAGACAACTATAAGGCTATTAAACCGAATTTTAGGATCCATGCAGTAACATGCATTACCATAACACATTTTCACAGGAGACACAGTGTATTCACACTTGGAAGTGTGCTGTGTTAGAGTGCTACTCATTTTAGAAGACACCCCTATGCAACCTGCACCACAAGGCACTTGCATTTTAGTGTACCATAATGTACTGATGTGAACTATCTGTGCATTGTGGTGTGGTGCATTGACATCATAAATGGTCAGGGTTTTTTGGGGGGTTTTTTGGGTGGCATTAAGTGCGCTTCAATGCAGCGCACATTAGTGTGCATTAACACAAAGGGGTTGATTTACTAAAGGCAAATATACTGTGCACTGCAAGTGCTCCAGAGCTTAGTAAATGAGGTAAAGCTTCACTTTGCAAAGAATACCCTATCACATGCAAGAAAATAAAACAAAACTGCATTTTTGATTGCACATGATTGGATGACAGAAATCAGCAGAGCTTTCCCTCATTACAGAGCAACTGCACTTGCAGTGCACAGACTATTTGCCTTTAGTAAATCAACCCAAAAGCAAAGTCTTAATGAGCCCTTACACATTTTTTTTAATTTTTGGGGGACAAATAAATAAAACTAAAGCAGACAGAAAATGGACCAACTGTGCATAGTAACCAATCAGCTTCTAACTTGTTCAGTTTTGCTTTGAGAGCTAGTAGCTGATTGGCTGCCATGCACAGCTGCTCCAGATTCTGGCTGCTCCAGGAAGTTGGAAGAAGGGTGATAAGCCACTACTTTGAATCATTCACTTCTGTGTGAAAGGTGGGGCTTTAGCTTTTGAGCTTTGTACACAGTTTTTAGCTAAATAGCAGATAAGAAAAGCATGGAAAAGAGTCTAAAGAATCATTGGATGCTGAAAAAGACAATAGAAAACATTTATATCCATTATTGGCTATTTCCCTGATGATTTTTTTAAATTACCATATTTTTTCGCTCCATAAGATGCACTTTTTTCCCCCCAAAAAATGGGGGAAAATGTCGTTGCATCTTATGGAGCAAATATGGAGCGGCCGGCCTGGTATTCCCCCCCCCCCCCCCCCCCCCCCCCCCCCCCCCCCCCCCCCCCCCCCCCCCCCCCCCCCCCCCCCCCCCCGTGTTAGAATACTTGGCCGGCCACTCGGCTCTTCTCTGCAGACCTCCAGCTTCTGGTCATCTCCTGTATTATGTCTGCAGTCTCTGGTCATCTCCTGTACTATGAGGTAAAGCTTCTGTCTCTGTCATTCTCTGGTCATTTCCTGTACTATGTCCGCAGTCTCTGGTCATCTCCTGTAGTATGTCCGCAGTCTATGGTCATCTCCTGTACTATGTTTGCAGACTCAGGTCTTCTCCTGTACTATGTCCACAGTCTCTGGTCATCTCCTGTACTATGTTCGCAGTCTCTGGTCATCTCCTGTACTATGTCCACAGTCTCTGGTCATCTCCTGTAGTATATCCGCAGTCTCTGGCCATCTCCTGTACTATGTCCGCAGTCTCTGGCCATCTCCTGTACTATGTCCGCAGTCTCTGGTCATCTCCTGTACTATGTCTGCAGTCCATTGGTTCAGAATATTTTTTTTCCTGTTTTCCTCCTCTAAAATCTAGGTGCGTCTTATGTTCAGGTGCGTTTTTATGGAGCGAAAAATATGATATATAACAAATATGTAGAATATAATCCGTAAAGAGGAAACAGATGGATATACATAGGTACATGAGCATGGTCTCTGTCATTGTACATAGCTATGTCTGAAACTTTTCTTTACATTCTTAAGATGAGATGCAATTTTTCTGTAGAAGTGATATGGATTTGATTTTTGTACTGGCATTTCTGAGAAGCTTGTATGCCCTGTACTAGGTGAGTAAGCCACTTGAATGGATCACTGCAAGTGTACTGCCTCTTTAGGGCCCCAGGCACACTATTACGTTGTGGGAATGCGCACATACCCATGTGTGTTACATTCACACAAGGTATCACATGGTACTTGTGATGGTGAGATGTGTTGCCATTCATATTGAATGGCACCTCAATAAACCTCACTGGAAGTGCTACCCTACAAAGCATGGCAATACACTTGTATGTGTTGCAGTGCACCGTCAAAAATAGTTAATGGAAAATTTCTGGGCTGAGGTGGCTAAGACATAAACATGTAAAAGTAATTTATGCTTTAATTCACCACACCTCAGCAGTTAGATGTAAACCTAGACTTATACTTTTCCTTCTCTGACGTAGAACATGAAAAGTGACTTAGTTAAACATTTAAACAATAATAAAAATAACAAGCCATTCTATCATGTCATACAACTAAATGTTCTTTGTTTCCAAATCTGCAGCCAGCAGTAATATTTTATAACCAATTAAAAATGTAAATATCGTGCAACCAAAACAGTTTTAGTTTGTAATAAAGATTGGCCAGAATTCTCTTCTCCCTTATTTAGTAATTGGTTTAGTAACTCCCTTACAAGTCTGCACAGAGATTGAAGTAAAACTACAATTTAATTCTGCAAATCTTTGGTAAAATTCTTATACAAGGTGCTGCTGTTCAGTTAGGAGCAGGGAGTACAGAAGTGGGGACAACAATAGTGGCCAATTCTTTAAAAGATTTCAGAATGTGCATTGGCATAATTTACTTTCATATCTTCAGCATATCTACAGCACAGGTAAAGCACCACAGTAATTTCTGCTAACACCTAGAGGGACTCTTTCCTTTTTTTCAAAAGTTGAGTTTAACCACATTCTTATCCCTTTATTGGTGCGGTCATTTTAATTTTGAACTGCAATATCTTGAATGTTGGACTCTGCTATACTATTAGTACAGTATTGTACTTGGCAATAAGGATAGTAATGCCATCCTTCAACCAAAGATGTAATAAAAGAAATGCTTGAAGGGCCCAGAGAAACATACAGTACAATTATGCTTTACAGGTATCCATTATGTTTATAGGCCAACACTTAAAAAAGAAAAAAAAAACATAAGCCAGGGGACTCACTCAAACTTTAAAAAGTTGTTACAATTAACAAACAGTTCACTTTTGAAATTGAAGACAATGAAGAATCCTACACACGTAACATATACAGCAACATCAGTTCATATTTCTTAAATCTAGGGCAAAGATGTGTAGCCCATAGTGACCAAATTACAGCCCCTTATTTTCATAAGGCGCAAAAAAATCTAAGGTAACACATTTATGGGGTGATAGGACAAAATATATTTTATCTCTGTTCTAGCCCCAATTTTTAGCCTGTAACTGTTTGCTGGGTGTCAGGAATAGTGTATCTTACCCATAGATGTCCCCTCTACATATGGATAGAAGAAGGCTATGATCAAATTAATGAAAACTGCCAGGTTGAAGGAAATTGTTCCCCAAAGACTCATTCTTCGTGAAAACCAATACATTAAAGGCATACCTGAAAAAGTTACATGAATAAAATGTATACAATTATTTTTAGTTGTAACATTATTTTTACACTGTTAACCTATTCATTCATTTGAGGTTTCTTTGTTATTTCTGATTAATTTTTTCAATTAAATATCCTTTTTTTTAACTATATATCTAAAAAGATGACAGTCAGTCAAAGTACAGTAACATTAACTTCATTTACATCCAGGTTTCATTACTATTCAAGTAAAGCAAATGACTTCTCACATTCAATGTTATTTTGAAAGGACACGAAACAACTAATTTTTCATACACACTGCACTAGGAAGTATAACTAGGATTTTATAACAATAGGCTGTTTATAATTATTTACAAAATAGACTTAAACCTCTATAATACCAAAGGTGAGTTTTTGTGGCTTTGTTAATACAACAGGTTTTTTTTTCTCCTCAAAACTCTTCCTTATAGAGCAATTCCAGGCAATAAGTGAAGGCAATCAGTAAGCTACTAATGTTAGCAAGTAAACAGTGTAGTTGAGCATTGCCTGGGTAAACAACTGAAGCACAGAGCAGGTAGGCTGTGTTCCCTTTATGCATTTCAAGGTTTAATTTTCAATTATGGCTGGAGTGTACTAAGCACCATTAAAGTGCAATTCAAGGCAATAAGTGAAAACAATCAGCAAAGCTACTGATGCTATAAAATAAACACTGCATGTGTACTAAAGTCGTAAAGTTCACTTAATTTACTTTAATCTTACAAACGGGACTCAAGTGGACTGGTGTGGTATAGCAATGCCAGGACAAACTACTTAAATACCAATCATGTAGGCTGTGCTCACTGTATATATTGCAAGGTTTAATATTCTATTATGGCTTGCATATACCTTTATCTACCATTAGAGCCAGCGATGGCTGGGCTTTTTTTCATCAGAATTGCTTCTCTGCTCATACCAGTCTATGAAAAAGCAATAGCAGCTGAAGCAGGTCAACTGCACCTGCAGTAAATTCTAAATAATATCAGAAGCATCTCAAACCAATGTTAAAACATGCTGCAATTGCCCATCAAGGGAAGTCCTTGAAGTGCGTCCCACCAATCTGAAAAGTGGGAAAGGGATAGAACTTCTGCTTCTCATGTCATTCAGAAATTATTGACAGGCCCATTTCACCTGCAGTTGACCTGCTTTAAGCAGGTTTTACATTCCCAAAGAAGTGAAGAAGGAAACTCAAGCCCATGGACACAGGCCCTTAGAGGGATTTCGTCTCACTTACTATTCTGATGACAATGGTTTTCAACAGACAGGAAGTGAGGGACATAAATTAAATACCTTTTTTCTTTTAGTGTAGGGCAAGGCAAGAACCCTGCATTAGATTTTTACTGCTGTCTGTATACCTGCTTTTGGTTTTCCCTCACTTCCTGGTTTATGAAAGCAGGACAGAAATTGAGGGGAAATCTCTCCAATAGAGCCATGGATAGCAATAAAACCAGACAGGGGTTCTAATCCTTGCTCATTCAATTTAAAACTAAAAAAAAAGTTTTAGAAGGACATTGAAAAGCAATTCCAAGCAACAAATGAAACAAGTCATTGAGCTATGTATGCATTCCAGCACACTGGAGCTATGCTAAAATCAGAAACTCTACTCACTTTACCTTAGTCTGAGTTTCCTGTAATCTACTGCAACCATAACACACACAGACCACCTCACAGGGACAACAGAAGTGTACTTTCTGAAACCTGCGTTGTGTTATATCTTCCCTCTCTATTTCCTGCATTACCAATCACATTTATTTAAATATTGTTTGTCACTGAGGACACAATAGATGAGTACTGGGACCAGTTCTTGTGACTACAGTATGTCACCCAAAATGCTGCAGATTTTGCTAATATGTTCTGTAGCTATGTGATGGTTTAAATGTCATTGTGGCCTAGATGTCAGTCCACTGCATATAATGACAGAAGACACTTTGGACACTGTCCTTGTAGATTCAAGAATACAACCAGTGCGGAACCTATTTAACAGTTTGTTCCCATATTTTAATAAGCAAGTATTTGGGAAAATCCTTACTTCGCAATTTCTTCTGCCACTCCATTTCGTTATGAAGAAAAGATGACTGGTCAAAGAAATCGCTAACTTTGCTGCCCTGCTCATCCTGCTCTGTAGTGGTGAACACTCGGTGCTTGGTCTCTTCTGTCAGGAACTTGCAGATGTCTGGAACAGGGAATACAATCTGTTCCATGCTTCGATCTGAACGCACAATCTGTGAATATAAAAAACCAGTGCTTAGACCTTAGAAAAACTGGAGTATACCCAGCAATACAATTTTAGCCATAGAGCTGCATTCAGTTTCTTTAGGTAAAAGGATCCCTGTGGTAAGGAAGCTGTCGGGTCTGCCACTGCTGATCTCCTTAAAATGCTAGTTGCCTGGCTGTTTGATGTCAATACTTTCTCAATTACTGATCTAAAAAAGCCAGACAGTAAGGGGTAGATTCACTAAAACTGGAGCACTCAGAATCTGGTGCAGCTGTACATGATAGCCAATTAGTTTCTAAATTCAGCTTGTTCAATTAAGCTTTGGCAATAAAACCTGGAAGCTGATTGATTTCTAGGCAGAGCTGCACCAGATTTTGCAGGTGCAGCTCTGGTTTTAATAACTAACACCCTAAGGCTACGTTCACACTAGCGTTGTGTGCAGGCGGCAGAGAGGCGTTTGGGATGCGTTTTTACCGCTTCCCAAATGCCTCTGCCAATTCTGCGCATTACAGCACATGGTGCTGTTCTAACAGGAGCGTTTGCGTTGCGCATTTGGCATTTGCGGAGCGTTTGCCGAGCGTTAAAAAATGCTCCACAAACGCAAGGACCGACGCTTGCCAAACGCTATAGGGGCGTTTGGCAAGCGTTGGTAAAACATCCCTAAGTGTCAGGGTTAGTTCAGTTACTCCAAAAGTGTAGAATACTTTAGATAAAAAATATAAGCAAGGCAACTAGCATTTTTAGAAGACGAGTTCAGCAATGAAAATCTTCACATTTCTCTAACCTAGCATGACAAAGGGAGAAAATGATGCCAACAACATCCATCTGAAACTAGATTTTTTTCTGTAATTGTTACATCTGTGATCTGACTGGTTACCATGGAAAATAGGCTAAATCCTCAATCAAGTTTTTTGTTTTGTACTGTTTAACACTTTTCTATTATAAAATTAGGGAGCGATGGCCCTAGAATTCGTGCTCTCACTGCCACATTTGTAGTGATACTTCACATGTGTGGTGCAATCACTGCTTACGCACAAGTCCATGTACTATATGCATATTTGCATTCTTGGGTATGTATAGGGCATCAGGGCTTATACATTTTTAAAAATTATTTTTAATTTATTAGAGTTCACAGTTGTTTTTTCATGTAACTTTATTGTTATGGCAAGGGAATTACCAAGCAAAGTATGTGATAGCAGACAGGTGACAGTCCTCTTTATAGACACATCATTGGTCTACTAGACCCTTAATTCCTCCCTGTGCTCCAATGCAGCTAATCAAGCACAGATCTTTCTTGATTAGCTGCTTACCTGGCTATAATAGCCGAGGAATGACAGCTCTGAAGCGGGAGATGTGCTCGTATGGCATCCTGAAGTAGTTTACTGCCATCCTGGGTTCCCCAGAGGTACAGGAGGACACAGAAACCATAGTGGGCACTACCAGTGGGTGAAAAGGAGCGGCACCTATTCAGTGCCTGATAGATCATTTTAAATTATAGCTGATCGCCAGTTGAATAAAACAATAACAAACTCATGGCTGCAGTGGCAATCATGAGCTTGTTTTAACACCTTTAATACCAGAATGTTTATAAACATACCTTGGTAGACAAACAGTTAAAGCAGGACTACAGCCTCAACTCTTTCTGTACTACATACTACTGCCTTTGGAAAATGTTGAAAAACTGTACAGCTTTTTAATTTTATTTCCCACCCTTCCCCACTGTGTGCTTCTTAATTTTCATTGATGGTCACTGGAACATTTCCTGTCCCACGGGTCCCAGTGATTGTCATGGACACACCTCCTGGACTTCTCTGTGGAAAGGACTCATAGAGTGCCACCTCGCCCTCCATCATCAGGGGGTCCTGACAGACCATTCATACTAAAGCTACTGTACTATAAAGATATCTTCAGACTGGCCAAACAAAGCCTAATATGGAAATTCAAGGTGGGAAAATCTCAATCTTTCCCAACTAAAAGTCAATGCCAGTGTGCTAAATTCACTGACGTTAAATGCAGACTGAGGGAGCTCCAAGTCTCTTGCTCCATGCTCTACACAGCTAAATTGTGAGTGATAAAGGATGGGTCCGCAAAATTCTTTGACTCCCCATTTTCGGCAGCTCATTGACTTGACCGCAATGAAAGGCGACTACATCCATATCTTGCCTGATCTCACAATGGCTCGGTGTCATAGTTCCGTACTTGGCACAGTCTCCCACCCTGTATTCTCCTATGATAGTGTGGGACACTCTGAAGGCTTTTCTCAGTGGTATGTGTATTAAGGAAATCTCTAAAATTAAGACAAATACCAGACAATGGGAGGCTGATGCCAGTCAATCGGTGTCTAAGGTGGAACAGGCATATTTAACCCCTTCACGCCTAAGGGTAAAACAAATCTAAAGGCCTAAGCACAATTCTGCACCGTTGACATGTGATAGCAAAACCGTACATATCATCACAACTACTTTGCACATCCAGGTGGATTATACATTGATTTTTTTCAGGACAAAATTGGGCTTTCATTTGGTGGTAAATGGTAATGGATATCTCCTGATTTTTTTTTTATTATCAAAGGAAAACTGGCCAAAAATAGTAAAAAAAATCCTTTTTTTTTTATTTAGCTATGTGTTTCTTGTTATGACCATAACCTACCACCAAAGAGCAACCCAAAATAAATTCTCCAGCTCTTAACGATCGCAGCGATACCATATATGTGTATGTTATTTGTTGTTTGTACCCGTAGTACAGCCCAGAAACCATAGTGCGCATTTTGTTTTTGTTTTTTTTTTTTTTTTTTTACCTAAAACACACTAACACTAACTGACACTGACATTAACACTAACTGATACCAATTTTTTTTAAATCCTGACCTTGACCTTTGACCCTGACCTTTGACCTTGACCCTGACCTAAAGACTAACCCTGGCACTGAACTAGATCAAACCTTGATCTAGGTATTTTTTTTTATTTTTTCTTTTATTTTTTTAATATTTATTTATTTATTTATCTTTCTTTTTTTTTTTTTTACAAACTTTTTTTTTCTTCTCTCTGACAGGAGTTCGAGAGATACAATGTATCTCTCTTCTCCATTCATAGAGAGAGAGAGAGAAAAAAAACAAGGGGGCTGGGCTGCACAGTGACTGATCACTGTGATAGCCAATCAGAGGGTATCACAGCGATCATGTGACCCGGGATCGGGAGTCCCGGGTCCCGATCGTTAGAACGGGACCCGGTGCTCTCAGTGACACCGCGGTCTTGGTGCTGGGAGCGCGCTGAGGGGCGCGCTCCCAACACAAAGATAGGTACGCAAATATGCGGCCCCACGGAAAAAAGCCCAGGTCCGTGAGGCCGCATATTTGTGTTACCTCGGCGTCAAGGGGTTAAGCAACCCTAACGCTGATACTGAGTGAGAATGGGTGGTGGCCCAACACTTCCTCCGTACTGTCCAGACTCAGCATGCTGAAAATAAAAGATTCTTTTCTGCTCAAGCATTCTTTGAGGAGGGGGAGAAAATGGGTCACATGCTGGCGGTAATAGTAAAAGCACAGCAACCATTTTCCCATATTCCCTCTTTAAAAGTGTCCTTTTCTCAAGCAGTTATGGATGCCCCTCCATCTTACAAGGCTTCCGAACCTTTTATAAATTTCTATATCCCTCAAAAGTAGCTTACCATGACTTTTTACTTGGGGATATTCTAGACTGTATCACTCTGCCCCAACTTTCAGCTGGGAACAGGAATATGCTGAATGCCCCGGTTACCCTTGGGGAACTACAAATTGCTGTATCCTCATATCCCAACTCTAAAGCCCCTGGCAGCAACGGGCTGCCGATAGGAATATGCAAAATATTTTGGGACATACTTTTACCTGAACTCTTGACAATTTTACATGCAGCTTTAGAAATAAATTCACTACCACCCTCCATGTATGAGGCCATCATAGTGGTACTTTTGAAACCAGGGAAGGCTCCCATGCAAGCGGAATCATACCGTCCTATCTCACTATTGACCTCAGACCTGAAATAATTACCAAAGTGATGGCGATCAGACTGACTAAAGTTATCTCTAAATTAATACATTCTGACCAATCAGGATTCATTCCTAACAGGTTTACAATGGTCAACCTCTGTAGGCTCTGCCTGAACCTATAGGTCCCGACAGACAATATGGATAACCAAGCGATCCTATCTCTCGACGCCGCTAAGGCTTTAAGCTACTGTATCACGCCCTGACTGCGCACATACGGGTTAACAATGCATTGTCTCCTTCTTTTACACTAGGCAGGGGGACGAGACAAGGGAGTCCACAGTCACCCCTATTGTTCGCCCTGGCGATAGAACCACTCGCAGCAGCTATCAAGAGGAAATCCCGATGTAGTAAGCTTTCAGAGGGGAATATATGGAAAAAATAGCCTTACATGCTGATGACGCCCTCCTAATTTTAGGGGACACGTCATCTTCGTTAACACGCTTAATGACAGTGAATACTGAGTTTAGGTCTTTCTCCGGTTTTTCCATAAAATTGGGATAAATTCACTCTCCTTCTGTTACTTCCCCTATTTCCCCTGTAGCCACTCAGCTAGAAATTGTCGAATCCTTTAGGTATTTGGGAATCTAGGTACATCCAAATTTATCCAAATACACAGAGCTGATTTTGCTCCCGATTCTTAACAAATTTTAGCAAAACGCTCCTCAACTACCATACATTCTACATAATGCCCCAATTTGGATACTCATCCAAATCTTTAAAATATTTGATACAGTATTTCGCTCCTTAATTTGGCAAAAGCTCCATCCCCACATTAAATTGGAGATTCTACAGGAACCCAAAGATATGGGAGGCCTCACAGTTCCCAATCCTTATCTTTATTATCTAATTACAGCACTTCACAGCGTGGCAGGAAGATATTTACTCGAACCCCATCAAACTCATTCTTTTGACAGTAGCTGATTCCAATAACCTTGTTGAAAGGCCAGTAAATTTACATTTAAAACCTTGACATGGTGTCCTACCTTGGGTTTAATGCATAAAGTATGGTTGAAGGCGAAAGAGCTAATTCGGTACCAGGGGTATACCTCATTTACTCGTATCGTTCACAACTCCAACTATTCCAAACTCTACAAATTAAAAGGTTTTGATCGATGGTCACTGGCAGGAATGAAATACATTGCTCAAAGATATCAAGGTCCAACACTCAAGGACTTTTAAACCTTGAGAATGGAATTTGGTTTACCCAATTTCGCCTTTTTTCAACATTTACAACTTAGACACACCATTACGGCTCAAGCCAAAATGACCCCGTGGACATTGATCAAACCCATTCTTCTTCAACAAGCTCTCAGATTTTAAGAAGGATCAGATCTCCTCCTTATATGGTGCCTTGCTACACAGTCATCCTGTCTTACCTGCATTGGTATAATGACTTATGAGCAATGGTCCACGATACTTTCTATTGTGTTGGCGATATCTGTATCTTCCTCTCAAAAACCTACACAATTTTTCATAATTCACCATACTTATCGCACCCCACAAAATTGATTTGAGTGGTGAAGAAGGGACACTCCCCTATGCCTGTGCTGTGAGGTGGAAAGTGGTACGCTACTACACATGCTATGGAAATGCACCAAATTGGTGCGTTGTTAGGCTAAGGTAATGTCCCTGATTAATAAAATTTTTTCTCTCACTCTCCCGCTAGACCCTAAATTGAACCCTCAACATATACTGCTATTCTCCGTCTCTTGAAAATAGCTAGTAAAGTTATAACACAAAAATGGTTGTCTCCATCTCCTCCCTCACAAGCTCACTGGATCAAGGCAGTTAATGATACACTTTCAAGAGAGAAGCTGGTCTATCAATGTAGAGGTAGTCCTGGTAACTTTATAAAATTGTGGGAGGGCTGGCTGGGTACCCCTGGTACAGAATACTGAGCAGAGATGTGCCTTCTGGTATTGTATGATTTAATTTTTCGCACTATTTTGACATGGGGCCATACATTCCGCTTATGATTTAATGTTAGTCTTTATTCGCTATTTCATGTATTAGCTACTTATAGGTAATGTTTGAGGCTATTGCATGCAGAGACAACACCGCATTCAGTTTGGTTTCGTTTTTTATACCTTTTGCTTTGTTTTTGCTACGCTTTATTGGATGTCCACAATTTACTTAGATGATTATAGTGTACAAATGCCAAATGTACTTGTATAACTGTCTTTAATTTATTACTGTTTCTGTCCTGTACAACAGACATCTATAAGACCACACTTTGTCAGAATGTGGATATCCTTTGTTTTTGTAGCCCTGTTCTTGCTGGTCCGTTTTTGTCTTTTTGTGGAACACTGGAATTTGTAAAAATTTTCACAAAAATGGAAACTGTTTGGTTTTCAAATAAAATTTGATTAAAAAAAAAAAAGGAGGATATAACTGTGGCAGGTTCCTCGGGGCTCTACTGTTTGAAGCTAGTTCCCACATATGGTGGCATTTGTATTGGGCAGATTTGAAATCCCTGCTAAGAATTTTCTGTGTGAGACAAGCACACTGGAGCCCCTCAACCTGCCTGAATGAGAACCTTGCATGACACAAAACTCTTTTCAAAGCTTGGCAGGGCACAGCACTTTCACATTTATACTGTATATTTAATTTAGTATGTAGCCTGCACAGCAATGAATTCCATACATTCCTTCGATTTGTGCATAGTGATGATATGCTAAAATATAACTTGACATTTAATATAACACTTGCAAGCAGTCTAAGAAATATCTATCTCTTCCTGTTAAAAGTTCTGTTCTGTACATATGGAAGATGTCAGCACTAGAGGGCCTATTTTTTTAAAAGGTCAAATAGGCTTAATATAAATAAGGGACTTTCCTCATATTTTTTTTTTTTTGTTTACAAAAAATGTTGATGACAATTTATGTTGCTGGCGAATTGCACTTTTTTAATGGAATTAAGTTACAGAACCTGCCCCAAGGTGGTATATTTCTTATTGTGAATAATTGTACTTTAGTTTTTTTTACAAAACATTGTAAATCTCCTTATTGTAAAGGTATTGGGCAATAAATCACATGGGTTTGCATAAAATAACTGTCTTCACATATGCCCAGTGATGGAGGCCCACAGACAAATGTGGGGTGTGAATTCCACAGTGTTGGGGATGCATGTGAGAAGGCCCATGTTAGTTTAGGTGGATTCTGGCTACGAACAAGGTTTTTTTATGTATGAGGAACAAGTATGAAAATTAACATGTATAGCTTTAGAAAATCCTTTACTTATGTAGAAATGTCATTCAGTGATATAAAAGTCAGAGGACCAATCTTACATTGGGTTCTCCATTTCACTGGAAGCATGTAGAAAGTGTGGAGAACCAAAGTAATGTGTGACTAGTAGGTTGTGTTTGTTAGCAGTCCGGCTGCAGCATCTGATAGCCCAGCACATAAAGCATTAAAATAACACAATTAGAAGGATACAAACTAAAGAATTCATGGTTTGTCTGGGGAAATAAGATCCCTGAGTCACATAAAAAAATTTGCACAAACTTGCTGTCCAGTTCAACTGTCAAGTATTTCACCAGTGCATTCATCATATTTGTCAATCTGTTCCATTTTCATCATTTTACACCCTTTATTCTGGAACCACAACTTTTAATGGCAAAATGTTATCAACCATAGAATGACCAGACAATGTTTAACAGTAGAAAAGGGTTAAGTAAATTAATTATGACAGTTATTTTTCAGTGTGTTGATTCTCAGCACCAGTAGTTTGCGGTGCAAAGCTCTTCGCACCAAAAAAAAAAAAATCTGAACCCTGTAACCAAACTAGGTCTGCTCGACATTAAAGCACCTTGTAACCATTAATAGAAAGCTGTACTTGCACAGGATGTCTGAAAGGCCTGGGACAATATGCAATTAATATAGTATAGGAGATACATATTTTTTAATTATTGTATACTGGACCCTTAATCTTTAAACGTACACCTAAAACCTAACCTAAATCCCCTTAACTCTAACTTAATGTAACTTCTAAACCAAGCCCTGATACTAAACTAACCTTTTGTTTGCAGGCCAAAAGAAAAATCAGTAACCAATTTTGCCATCTATGCTAACAGTGCCATGTCGCTGTCAAAATACCTGAACAGTGGCTGAATCTGATGTTATACATCTGCTGTTTGGCTAACAATTTTCCACATGGTTCCTTAGATTTTTTGATCAAGAGATTTTGGGCAAGAAGCAGCTGACAGGACCACCCACTGAGCAAATTTCAGCTGGCTCCTTAGCAATCAGCCGAAATTTGAACAGTGTATGGCCAAGTCAGCATTATGCTGGCAACTCTGGACCAAAAGATAGCATAGATATTATATGTGTATTCATTTCTGTGACAAAATACCCACCTCAATCTGTGCAGTATGCTTGGCATAATACACTAATGCATCCTCCTTCTCTTCCTGTACAGGAGCAGTTGTTGACTTTAGCATCTGAGTCAGCTGTTTATTATTTAGACTTAACTGCAAAAGTGATAAAAAATAAATTTTTAATTTCAAAGCAAATCATGCATGGAGCAAGGTTAAAATGTTGTTGAGCAGACTGAAACAATACAGACATGTTTCCTTTTCATATTCATGTTGACATTACTCTGTGCCTTGTCCACTAGAATTATTCACAATGGTTGCACTCACAATAAATGCAACATTAATACTGGCAATGCAAGACTGTGATTAAACGTTTTATCACATATAATTAGTGAACTGCTGCAAGCCTCAGCACTCTTTTCTTGGATACTGAATGCTTTCTTTTAGGACTGAAACATGCTGCAGGGGAAAATATGTCATACTACATTCTGCATTACATTCTAGAATAAGATTTTAAAAAATGTATTGTGGTAGTGTTAAAAATTATATCATCATCAGCGGGCTGGAAAGTTGTGCTGGCCAGAAATTGAATATACCAGCCAACAGGTCCTGTAGAAAAGGCAGTAGGTGCAATATGTGATGATGACAAATAACCTAACTGAAGGGTCCTCTCTTAGTAGTAGTTACCTAGGAATCTGTTACACTGTGTGATACTTTTAGTTACTTTACTCAGAAAAGCTAAAATAGCAATGTCTTTAATGTAATTCAATCCTTAAACATTAAAGTAGAACTAAAGGCAAAACATTTTTTTACTGGAATAAGGGAGGGTTATAACCTCTGTCAGTTTTTTGTCATCTTTGCCCCATTGGGGAGATTTCCCTTCACCTCCTGTCCCATAGTCAAAACATAAAGTGAGGGGAAATCCCTCCAAAGTTAGGGAATCCCTCGTTATCACAAGGGTCACCAAAACTAGTGTCCCTGTTAGAAGATTTTACCTCTATTCCTGTTCTGGGGACAAGCCTAAATTTTGAATTTTCTTTCATTTTGGTGATAATAACAATCATGACAAATAGAGAGGGTTAATTTCCCTAAGGAGGCACAGATAGCGATAAAAACTGGCAGGTGTTCTAATCTCTCTCCACTCTATCCACAACTAAAAATTACTTTTCCTTTCAGTTATACTTTAACCCTTTCAATAATAACAAGCATGTTTTGTGATTTTGTTTGGAACATACATTCTGTGTTTATTAAAAAAAATAAGAATAAATGAGGGTGCATACAGCACAGACAAATACTTGCAAGAACATAATTGATCTCAGTGGAATATTATACCCTCCAAGCATATGGCACTTATAACAGATGGATCTTGAAAAAGGGAGAGAACAACATACTATACTCATTCTGTCATACATCTCCAAAAAGGAAACCTTGACATGGAAGACACATTATGCTACAGAGATCAATGGTTTATGTGTCAGTCTGTACTTTTCATAATTTCGTCTTTAAAAACATGAGAACGATGCTTATACAGTGGTTTACACTATACCAGCCTTGTGGAGACTGCTGTTACAAGGATGATTTTAAGTATTAGGGTAATAATAATGTGGCTGGATTGAAGCTGAAAACCAGAAAAAAAAACAGCACAAAAGTCTTCAATTGTGAAATGTGAGACTGAAATAATATTATGTAGTCTTCTCTCCAGCCAGCAGGTGGAGCTTTGGCTTCCTCATGTGTAAAGCAATATCACTCAGTTGACCTACAAGAACCTGCTTTTAAACACTTGCCTATTGGGCAAATTCCTACATGTAAAAATAATCCTTTTTTTTCTAGAAAATTACTTAGAGCCCCCAAATATTATATCTATCTGTCTACAGTTGCAAGAAAAAGTATGTGAACCCCTTGGGATTACGTGGAGTTTTGCATGAATTGGGCATAAAATGTTCTCTGAACGTCATCTAAATCACAACAATAGATGAACACAGCCTGCTGAACATAATACTACACAAACATTAGATGTTGCCATGGTTTAATTGCACATAACATGTAAACATTCACAGTGCAGGGAGGAAAAAGTATGTGAACCTTTGGACTTAATAACTGGTTGACCCTCCTTTGGCAGTAATAACCTCAACCAAATGTTTCCTGTAGTTGCAGATCAGACCTGCACAACGATCTGGAGTCATTTTGGACCACTCCTCTTCACAAAACTGTTTCAGTGTAGCAATATTCTTGGGATGTCTGGTGTGAATCGCTCTCTTAAGGTCATGCCACAGCATTTCAATCGGGTTGAGGTCAGGACTCTGACTGGGCCACTCCAGAAGGCGTATTCTGTGCTGTTGCAGCCATTGTTTTGTTGAATTACTTGTATGCTTTGGGTCATTGTCCTGTTGCATCACCCATCCTCTGCGGAGCTTCAGTTGGCGGACAGATGGTCGTACGTTTTCCTGCAAAATGTCTTGATAAACTCTGGAATTAATTTTCCCATCAATGACAACAATCCGTCCAGGCCCTGAGGCAGCAAAGCAGCCCCAAACCATGATGCTCCCTCCGCCATGTTTTACAGTGGGGATGAGGTTTTGATGTTGGTGTGCTGTGCCTTTTTTTCTCCACACATAGTGTTGTGTGTTCTTCCCAAACAACTCAGTCTTGGTTTCATCTGTCTACAGTATATTTTGCCAGTAGTGGTGTGGAACATCCAGGTGCTCTTTTGCAAACTTCAAACGTGCTGCAATATTCTATTTGGACAGCAATGGCTTCCTCCGTGGTGTCCTCCCATGTACTCCATTCTTGTTTAATGTTTTCCTTATTGTAGATGTGTCAACAAAAATGTTAGCATGTGCCAGAGATTTCTGTAGGTCTTTAGCTGACACTCTGGGATTCTTCTTTACCTCATGCAGCATTCTGCGCTGTGCTCTTGCAGTCATTTTTACAGGACGATGACTCCTAGGGAGAGTAGCAACAGTGCTAAACTTTCTCCATTTGTAGACAGTCTGTCTTACTGTGGACAGATGAACATCAAGGCTTTTGGAGATACTTTTGTAACCCTTTCCAGCTTCATGCAAGTCAACAATTCTTGATCGTAGTTCTTCTGAGAGCTCTTTTCTTGCGAGGCACGGTTCACATCAGACATTGCTTCTTGAAACCAGTAAACCCAAAACAGGTGTGTGTTTTTTTAAGGGCAGGACAGCTGTCAGCAACTCATCCAATACCATCACACTGATTGGAGTCAAGGTTGGCTCACTCCTGGCTCCAATTAGCTCTGGGAGAAGTCATTAAGCTAGGGCCTCACATACTTTTTCCTCCCTGCACTGTGAATGTTTACATGTTATGTGCAATTAAACCATTGCAACATCTAATGTTTGTGTAGTATTATGTTCAGCAGACTGTGTTCTTCTATTGTTGTGACTTAGATGACGTTCAGAGCACATTTTATGCCCAATTCATGCAAAACTCCACGTAATCCCAAGGGGTTCACATACTTTTTCTTGCAACTGTATATATATATATATTTTATTTATTTATTTTAAGCAGAGGTGACCAGATTAGAGTTACAGAGGAAGTGAGGAAGTCTAATACTAGAATTATTGCTCTCCCTATAACGTTTGCACCGTTTGTGTAGTGTGAACACTGTTTACACATGTGGGTTCAACCTATGCATGTGTTAACCTCTGCGCACCAGCACAGGGGGGGGGGGGGGCGGAGGGGGGGGGGGCGGGGAGGGGGAGACAGCACGGCATGAGGGGGGGGGGGGGGGGGGGGGGGGGGGGGGGGGGGGGGGGGGGGGGGGGGGGGGGGGGGGGAGTGGCACTTTAAAAATTTTTACGCTTTAATTCTAAAACAGGACAAATATCCCTGATGGGCTTTGGTACTGTGCCCCCCCACTCTGAATAAAATCCCTTAAACCTGTCTTGTAGAGGTACTGGCACAATTATTCCCTGGGAAAAGAGGTTTAGGGCATTTTGCAAATCTTACTGTCCTTGAAAAGTATTTGATTGATCTGAGAGAAGAAAGGAAAGCAGTGAGGGGGTAGAGCTTTGAACTTCATTTTGTTTCTTCTTTAAACCACAGATTAATCCCACAAGTCTGGAATGTCTGTGACCATGAGAGAGGCAATTTCTAACAGGTGTTCCCACTCTTAGGAGTGAATGCAGCCCTTTATTAAGAAGGCTTTGGGGGCGACTTGCTGGGCTTTGTGTCCCAAGTATTGCACGAATAGGAATGGCTGAACTTAGGTTTGGAAGTTAAACTGTTAAGAGCAGTTAGGTGTTCTATGCTCTTCAGAAACAGAGGCTCTTGAGGAGGTGAGTTTTCGGAATCTGCCGCTGCAGAAGTAAAACTTTCCCTCCTGTGACATTTTTCTGATCTGGTCAAGTGCCTCCACAAATAAACATCTTCCTTGAAAAGGCATATGTGCAGGTGCGGACTGACCATTCCTGCACTCGGGAACTGCCCGAGGGCCTGGGGTCAGTAGGGAGCCCCATGAGATGTCCCTAGTATCTTTCATAGGCTTTTTTGGGTGTGGTTTGAGAGTGGGTGAGGACACAGGGGCCCCATAATTCCCTATTGCCAGGGGGCCCCATGAGTTGTCAGTCAGCCCCTGCATATGTGTACAACTTCTTTTACAGACAGCTTCAGTTAACCTAGGATACTACGCATGTAAATGGAGATTAGAGCCATTCTGGGAATCTGTCTCATGGCATGTTATAGGGCATTCACACAAAAAAGCAGAAGGCAATTGCTGTAATTGTTCTATTAAAACATGATCCTGAAAAACAGGGTCATATTAGTTACTCCTTGCCCTAGTCCAGTTAGCTTCAGTCTGAGATACTGAAATTGCAGCAAGAACTAGTTGCATAGCTGGGCCTGCAACAGTAAAGAAAGCCTAAAACTTTCTATCTGCAGAATAAAGGAACATCTTCAATAAGTACAGTAAGATGTTTGTTTAGACCACTGTTTACTGAACTCTTATTTCCACTGGGTAGACTTCGTCAAATATTTTGGGAGAAGTGAAAACCCTTTTGGAATAATTCAATCATCTAAGAATGCACATTCTATTTGTTCATGAACAGGGAACATCTTATGGTGTTTACAAGTCTTTCTGTACCAAAAGGAGCATGGCGAAACAGAGGAGAATAAATCTGCTTCTGTGGACAGCAGCAGTGAGCTTTTCCACATTAGCAAGCATGGTGCATGAATCTCCCTCTTCAATGATGAGGCAATCTGTAGAAGAAAAATCTTAAGCAGCTTCCTCCAATATTTCCCCAATGTCCTCTTCATTCACTTGAAGAATCTAGTCTACATCGTTTAGGGCAGACATATTGAGATCCGACTCAGGAAGAGATATGGGAGCAGAAGAAAAGGAGTGGCATTTATGAGCGCTGGGCAAAGATGGCTGTATTAAAACCATTAATTGTCCAAAGAATTGTAACATGTCTGAAGAAAATTTCACTTTTTGCAGGGAGGTTGCTTTGTTTGTGCCTAAAAAAGAGCTAGAATCCGATGTTAGAGATGGCACCTGCTCCAATGCAAGGGACTCATCATCACTCTGAGACTAAGCGTTGTGTGGGGCTTCAACAGAGCAAATGTTCTCCCATGGTTTTTAATGGCTCCCTTTAGCCTGGTATCCATTACAGCTACGTTTTACGGTATTCCCCAGTCAGAGCAAGAGCAAAAATTGTAGTACCAGACCTCCTGTGTAACTCTAAACTAGTAACCTGTAAAGGCTTTCAAAGCTTTGTCTATGGAAATTTTTAGGTAACGTAGTTTGGCGCAGTTACATGAGCATACGTGTGACACAGTTAGGCACGCAATTAACCCTTTGATGTATAATCCCTTCCCAGCCAGTGTCATTAATACAGTGACAGTGTATATTTTTAGTATTGATCACTGTATTAGTGTCAATGGTTCCCACAAAGTGTCAGTTAGTGACAGAGTGTCCGCTGCAATATCACAGTCCCGCTATAAGTCGCTGATTGCTGCCATTACTAGTATAAAGAAAAAAAAATTCAAGTATATATACCATCGTTTGTAAACGCTAAAACTTTTGCACAAACCAATCAATATATGCTTATTGGGATTTTTTTACCAAAAATATGTAGCAGAATACATTTTGGTCTAAATGTATGAAGAAATTAGTTTTTTAAATTTTTTCATTGGATATGTTTTATAGCAGAAAGTAAAAAAATTTTTTTTTTTTGGTTTATAGCGCAAAAAATAAAAAAGACCCAGTGATGATCAAATACCACCAAAAGAAAGCTCTATTAAAAAAAAAAAATTATATAAATTTAATTTATGCACAGCGTTGCATGATCACGCAATTGTCAGTTAAAGTAATGCAGTGCCATCTAGCAAAAAATGGTCTGGTCATGAAGGGGAGTAAATCTTCTGGAGATAAAGTGTTAAAAAAAACAAAAACAAACATGCTATACTTACCTGCTCTGTGCAATGGTTTTGCACAGAGCAGCTCTGATCCTCCTCTTCTCGGGTTCCCCGCCGGCGCTCCTGGCCCCTCCCCCCTGCTGAGTGCCCCAGGGCAAGCAGCTTGCTCTGGGGGCACTCGTGCATGCTCACTCCCAAGGGACCTCTGTGTGCCCCCTGATCCCTTCTCAGTGGCTGTGACTGACAGCAGTGAGAGCCAACAGCTCCCGCAGCTGTGTCCCAGCCAATGAGGAAGGAGAGACTCGGGAGAGCTGATTCTCTCGTGCACAGCGCTGGATCGTTATCAGGCTCAGGTAAGTATTAAGGAGGGCTGAAGGGTGAGCTACACACTGAAAGTTTTTTACCTTCAAGCATAGAATGCATGAAGTTAAAAAACCTTCAGCCTTTAGAACCACTTTAAAGATTATCTGATGTTTCATTTTAATTGTAACAGGTTTGCTGCTGGTCATAATCTTTTTTTATTTTTTAATTCTTTATCTTGCTTTTAGCAGATTTTATGAATAAAGTTGGTTCAAACCTAAAACTATCATTAATGTCAGCAGAAGAAAAAAAATTCTTCATGCACTTGTTGAATCACATTTACAACACCTTTGAGCACCAGGGTACTAGTCCCACACACTGGAAATACTGAAACAAAATTGAAAAAAAAACTTTGTACGCCCCATGAAGCTGTGCTTATTCAAAATGTGTGTGCACAGAAATACTGTCATATTTAATTCATTACACTTTTTAATGCTGAGCTATTATACTTTCGTATCTGAATTATTGATGAGCATTTCCCTTCACAAACCACCAAAAACATTAGTATCCTTATCAAACTGTAAATAATTTAATGCGGGCAGCTTCATTAATTGTGATTTTGACCATGTTATACCTTTTTTGTTTGTGGTTGTCTCCATCATACCACTGGAACAAAAGAATTCAGCAAGATTTCTAATGGTAACCCTTAAAGCAGAACTTCAAACAAAAGTAACATGATCAAATATCTTAGCCCATTAATGGATTAAATAGAAAAAACAGCCTTTGCTGCAATATTCAGCTTCAACCAGAAATTTCCCCTGCAGCACTTTTTTCTGCTATATAATGTCCTCAGTCTGATGGCCAGCATCATTCAACCCACTTTTGCTTAGCTCAGGTCATCCTCCCCTCCGGTTACTGGACAGTGAAATAGAAGCAGCACAATGATGTTCAGGGACTACAGTGGGCTGATACCAGGTCAAATAGCTTTTCTATCTGGGACTGTGAGTACATAGCTTTGTTTAATCAGTCATTTACAAAGCAGGCACGCAATTTGCGTGGCTGGAGCCTCTCAATATAAGCTGTCACTGATAGGTCCAGTCTCTGTAGACAATAGCAAAGTAGGTCAACACCATGCATTTTGGTGCATCAGAACTGCATGTAAGTGTGAGCCCACATAATTATTAGCAACTGACATTCATATCAGTATTAACAACAGAGTTCATTACTTAAGAGGGGTTTTTAGGATGTCTCACTTTTCAGTAAATGTCTACATGTGCTAGTGAGCCATAATAAGCATCCTCCTTTGAGAGCCACCAGCCAACACTTTGCATGGCTGGGGGCTTTCAATCCATACTGTCAATGACAGGTCTAGTCCCCACTGACAATGGGCAACCAGAGTCATTCCCACTCTAATGAATTATGTCAGCTACCACAGAATGATCACATGCAAGCTGAAGCTTTACTGACATAATAAGGCTTGAGCCTGCAGATGCCACTGCATCCAAAGGGTGACAGTATTTAATGCTGTAATTGTCAGAAACAACTACAGTCTTAAAAATAATTACAAATATATTTTATTCAATTTTTGCAGACTTCTCAGCCTATAATAATTAAGAACATAATTTTTATTAAACAGTGTATTAAATAAGTCTTATGAGTCATGTAAAAAATGATAGAAAATTATTTTGGCATGCAAATTAGTCAATTTAACAGACACATGCTGGTGCTGCTATTTTTGACCTGGTCTATAGGGATTAATGACCCTTGGTCTTGAAAGGGTTAATGCAGTCCTTCGTCACTGACCATATAAAAATAAGCATCTCATGTCTATATCCTTATATACTGTATGACATACAGTATTTTTCATTGCAACTTCTGAATATGTGCTGCTACTTATAAGCTAGTCCGTGAAGTGTATCTGTTTTCGTCATTTAAGTTGATATTTTAACTTGTGGTATTTAAAAAGTTTATCAGGTAGAGAAATGATGGAACTTTTATACATACCCTAGTTAACCCAAGAGAAATATATCAACATAAAGCAATCAAACATCCCTGAAAAGTTGGATGGCCTGATAAATGTTAGCAATTAGGGCTGCCTTACACTTGACTGTTTCACCATTTAAGTTAATAAATGAATGAACTTTGTCCCGTTTAATTACTCAGTACTGTCAAGAGAATTTGGAATTCATGTGGAATGTGAAACAGTCTTGTGAATTTCACCCGCTGATGGTTTAACAAGTGTGTCTGAAAGAAGACAGTGACAAAGAAAATGATGCTGGTGACAGAGACAGGGAGCGATAGCTCTGGAAGAACATTCAAACACATTAATAGTTAAATAGGACAGAAGATGGATTTGTGGTTAAACAGATTTACATTCATTTACTATGACAAGCAATTTCAGCCATAATTACCATAGTAGAGATGCTCTCTTCTTCTTCTTGAATCCTTCGAACCGGCTTCAAAAGTTGTTGAAGATGTCTGTTATGTCGTGCCAGCTACAATATAACAACAAGTGGATTGTGCATTAAATAAGGAAAATAACTGACATACTGTAGTAGGATGTTAACATAGAAGAGATGTCAGAGGATTATGCAATACGCCTCCAACTGCACTTAAATAAATTTGCCTTTATCACTGTTAAAGTGAAATAAAAGGGTGGATTTCTATAGCTACTTAAAGGGAAACTGCAGCCAATAACCCCCCAATATGTAATTGAATACAGCTACCAGTTTTCAAAAGAACATATGTAACACTTGACACTAGATTAGAATTCCACCTTTTCATGTGACTGTGTTTATTCTTACTACCTTCATACTGCAAAGCAGAAAGTTCTTACATAACCATACTGGTCTTTGAACAACAAAGCCTTATCTAGTGTGCTGGAAGATTTATTTAGCCAAAGCTACAGGTTTGGGCTCTCCAAAGACAGTAAAGGCATAATATGCTCTCATATAAAAATGAACCATTTCTTTATGAGTTTGGGGAGCAAACAGATTTGCCATTTTTCTGCCTCCAGAAATATTTTCATTAGTCTCTAAATACCAACTATACCTCCACTGCTAGGTTTAACTTGGGGGACTAGCAACTGAATAAGGTTTTCTAACCTGTCTGATCATTACTCTGAGAACCACTGGCTGGTAGTGACTGCAGAAACCCATAGACATGAGATCATTGTTTGGTAGAAGTTCAGCCCAGATATCTGCCCTCTGATGTCTGTGACTACCCCAGCTGTATTTAATGATCATATTGTGCTCATTAAACAAGTTACCTGTTTCAAAACTAGGGACAAGGGTTATATAAATTTTTATTGACGCACACAGTTTTTCAGGAATTCTTTTCATAACAGTCTATGTAAAATTTAAATGTTGACTCTGGCACTGGTCTATGCCTTGAAGCCATATATTGGAGGACTAGGAATTTCCTAATCAAAAGAAAAAAAGCCACGTAACACAGGTGTAGATACCATAAACACTGTTGTGTTATGGTCATGGGAAGTTGGAGAATGTGCAATAATGACACTTGCTCCAATCGCTGTTTAAAAGCTCTGACCACTCTGTGCAGTGATGGACCGGCAGGGGCTGTTAGTCCAGGCCATTGATGGTGGGGTGTTTTTCCCAGTCTATGGTCGAGCAGATGACAGTGGTGTTGTGAATAACCCAGGCAACAGCGGGAAAAAAAAAATTAAGTGGCGCTAGTCTGTGCCGGGCACGTATAGCTACAGTTTAGATCCTTCTGGCTGGTGGGAGCACAGCTAGGGTTTTTTAAAAAATAGAAAATATATAGGAAAAATATAGAAAAATCAAGCTTTTAAAACAGAATAAAAAGCATAGAGACTGTAAAGAAAAAATGTTTTAGATATATTTTTATATTTTTAATACATATTTTTTCCATGGTTTAAAAACGTTGCTGTCTTTTAACCACTTCCCGACCGTCCTATAGCAGAAATACTGCTACAGGGAGGTATGGGTGCACAAAATCACATATATATACGTGATTTTACATGTCCGGGTAGGGGGGCGCGCACAAGCCATTCGAGGCCGCAGCTGTCAATCACCTGTGCACAGCCATCCAGAGCAGTGTGCTTACAGTGAAGCACAACCGCGCTTCCTAGTATAACACTCGCAGCACACAGTTAACCCTTTGATCGACCCTCATGTTAACCCCTTCCTGCCCAGTGCCATTAGTACAGCGGCAGTGCTTTCTTTTTTAGCACTGATCACTGTATTGGTGTCACTGGGGATGTCAGTGACACCAAATCAGTTCCCCCCAGTGTCAGAATGCCCATTGCAGTCCTGCTATAAGTCTCTGATCGGAGCCATTATTAGTTAAAAAAAATTCCAGTATCTATACCGCAATTTGTAAACACTGTAACTTTCACATAAACCAATTCATTTACATGTATTGGGATTTTTTTTTAGCAAAGACATGTAGCAGAATACATTTTGGCCTAAATTTAGGACAAAATTTGATTTTTAAAATTTTTTTAACTGGACATGTTTAACCGCTTCCGCGCCACCCTATAGTAGAAATACTACTATAGAGCGGCACGGGTGCACAAAATCACGTATATATACATGATTAGTGCTCCCGCGGTTTTCACACCCCTCCCAGATAGCGTGAGATTGCCCATCAGTACACCAGTAATCACATTTAATCCCTTGATTGCCAGAAATATGTTCACATACACAATCAATATCTTTGATCAAATCAGCACTATACCAGTGTTCACATTAGTATAGTGTCCCCAAAAATGTAGCGTTAACAGGATCAGCCCCGGCACCTGCCAGCACCTGCAACAACTTCTGCTTCTGATTGCCTAGGTGATCACAGTGGAAGTGGGAGCGGGTACCTGTCAAATTCGGGTACCCGCTCTCCAAAGGTGCCAATCCTTAATGGGGAGCGGGAGACAACAAAGACTTAAAGCGAAACTTCCCCTTTTGGGTGGAGCTCCGCTTTAAAGTAGAACTTTAGTCAGAAAATTAAGTCCTGATAGATCACCACGTGCTGGCCCTTTTTTCAGGTACAGCTATATAAAACATTAAAAATAAGTGCCTATACTGCTCAAAATCCAGTAATACACTATCTCACCCTGCTCTGCACATGCTCAGCTGCTCTCTATTTTTTTGGAAAATCAGAGCCACTAGAGGCATATCTGCTGACAGCTTAAAGATTTAATGTTGCTCAGGGGCTCTGGGCTTCAGCAAAATGACAGCGTCCAGCAGACAGAAACAGGAACAATGCCGGGGTAGCAATTTACAGCAAGTTTGGTAGCATAATTATTAATGTGGAATGTACTGTATGTTAAAGAACATGATTTTTGTCAAACTGTAATGGGTAAAGTTCTGGTTGACTTCTGAGATCTTTAACATTTTAGTCATTTTATAAAATAATTAATCCTTGTTAAAAAACAGTTGATCTGACCTGCAAAGCAAGGATGTAAATATTATGTCCAACTTCCATGGGTGACACATCGGAACTGTCCCCTTCATCTTCCTGTAGATAAGCTTTCTTGATGACATCCACCTGACAATTAAGCCAAACCAAAACTCATCTTACTGTAAGAGTGAATATGGGGAAACGTAAAGGTAACAATCTACAAAAGAAATATGCTGTGTGCCAACATTACCAAACTGAGTAGTCATTGCATAAAGCCATTTTGTCCATACAACTAACTCACCAGTTCCTGGGGTCTTAGACTTAAAAGTATTCTTTCTGCATTCTCGCTGTCATGACGACTTTCCATAAGAGCTAATAGCAGCTTTGAGGCATTGTCCTGTGATAAGTCAAGATTAAGCAGGATTTTACAAATGTAAATGAGGTACACTGACAAAAGCTTCTTAGGCAACATATTCAACATATCTGTGAGTGCTTGCAAAGGATGACCTGCATTTTAAAATATCATATTTCTGTCTCCCAGAATAATGAAATTCATTGGTGTCATAATGACAAAAAAAAATCAACAGAACTGTTGTTACATTAATAAATGCAATTTTCTAGTAATTGTGTGCACAACAGCCTAATTCTATACCATTATAGCATTATAAAAAGGAGCTCCTGTGGCCATTGTAGGGGGACCTTACTCTCCCTGTTGGATTTTATTCATTTTATTATTATGGCTAATGCAAAAGAAGTTGCTGGAACACACACAACCTTCAAGTAGTCGCAGTTTGGATATCCAAGACTCAGAATACATTCCACTTATACACAATTATGACTTTTTAGTCAAACTGAGCAATAGATGAATGTTTAAATTAAATTCTTCCACAATCCTCTATCCATATCAATGTAAATACAGTTACAGGCATCTATAAAACCTAACTCAACCAATGTTTTTTTTTTTTGGATAGATTGGAAAAAAGGTAATGTTTGTGTCAAGTTCTTATTTCTGTCTGTAATCCCACTGGGGAGATTACCTCACATCCTGCCTCTGTATCGCTATACGTAAAATGTGTGCATATGTCACCAGGACACCAGGACAGGAAGGTACAGGCAACAATCCTTACTCTGCTTAAAATGTGTTTTTGCTTTTGTGTGTGTGTCCATTGAAGAGATTTGCCATTATTTCCTTTCCTAACAGGAAGGCGGAATAATCTCTTTAAAAACAACACGGTTGTCAATAAAATTCAGATACTCTAAACTATTCCATTCTCTATCCAAAACAAAATGTTTTAATGGAAGTTGGGATTTGTATTTTAATATGTACCTTTATACATTACCATACACTGGTAAAGCAAATTGATGCCTTTTTTTTTTTTTTTTTTTTTTAAAAAGGTCATATCACAAGATTTTTTGTGCAGTCTTATTAATTCCACTGTTCCCATTTATTCAGTGTTACAAAAGGAAAATGAGCCTTTGAATTGATTTTTAGTTTTGTTGCACACAAGGCAGCTTTAACTGCTGACTACACCAAATACCACTCCCTTTTCCAGTTAGATTTGTGGTTACTGATGCAGGTACAAAGAGAACCTAAATCAGAGAGGGGCAGAGAAGAAGCTTTTCTGTCTAATATGAGTAATTGAATACATGTGTATACTATTAGGCAGGTCTTTTACGTTTAAGATTTTAAAGTATACCCTGTGTACAAGAGATAGAGCTGGGCCCATAGACTTCTTTAGGCATGATAATTAGTAGTGAAGGAGACTGGATGTTACCTATATAGTGTATGCAAATAATTCTCTTGAAAAAAAGAAATAACTTCTAGATAAATGCCATTATCAAATTTCAGTCTTAGTCATGGGGCTTTAATGCTTTACACAAACCTTTGCTGACTTACATCACCTGTAAATCCCCTTTATAGGATATGTCCTCCAGGCTATGCAATTTCCTGCATATCCCAGAAAACTGCATATACTAGAAAGCAGAGTTTTGTGGGGAGAGGAATAAACACTCCCAGCATTCTATGGGTGTCTACAGCTAATGGCTAATATATATATATATATATATATATATATATATATATACACAAGATTTTAATCAATATCTCAATGAACACAGGAACAATTTCCAAAATTTTGACAAATCTGAGTTTTATAGAACATTTGTTTAGCTCACTACATGAAAGAAAGGTTAATAATATAACTTAGATGACAAAATCTTCAGTTTTACTCAAATTAGTTGATGCACAAATGAATACACCCCACAAGCTCCATGATTTGTAAGGACAGTACCAAGTCTGCTAGGCATGAAATGAACAAGTTGTCGACATATTGCAATATCTATCTTTTTCCATTCTTCAAGAATGACTTCTTTTAGATTCTGAATGCTGGATGGAGAGTGATGCTCAACTTGTTTCTTAAAAATCCCCCATAGGTGTTTGATTGGGTTCAGATCAAGAGACGTACTTGGTCACTGAATTACTTTCCCCCTGTTCTTCTTCAGAAATGCAGCAGTGGTCTTAGATGTGTTTTGGATCATTGTCATGCTGGAAAAGTGCAGGATGACCAAGGGCACGGAGTGATGGTAGCATCTTCTCTTTCAATATAGAGCAGTACATCTGTGAATCCATGATACCATCAATGAAAAGCAGCTCCCCAAAATCAGCAACACTCATGCAGCCCCACAGAAGGACATTGCCACCACCATGTTTCACTGTAGGAACTATGCATTTTTCTCTTTGTACTCCAAACTGTTGCAACACCATACAGTTTTGAAGCCATCAATTCCAAAAACATTTATCTTGGTCTCATCACTCCAGAGTACAGAGTCCCAGTAGTCTTCTTCTTTTTCAGCATGGGCTCTGGCAAATTCTAGGTAGGCTTTTTTGTGCACGGGCTTTAGGATAGGCTTCCTTTGTGGACAACATCCATGTATGCCATTCCTCTGCAGTGTACACCATATTGTGTCACGGGAAACAATCACCCCAGTTTGGCTTTCCACTTCTTTAGTTAACTGCAGTGAAATTGCATGGCAATTTTCTTCAACCCTTCTCATCAGAAGACGCTCCTGTCAAGGTGTTAAGTTCTGTGGATGGCCTGGACATCTCTGTGAGATAGTAACAGTTCCATCTTGTTACATTTTTGTATCACTTTTGCTGCAGTATTCTGGCTGATAAGTATAGCTTTGCTGATCTTCCTGTAGCCTTCACCTTTTTTCTTTAAAGAAATTATTTTCCTTATGAGGCCTTGTAACATTTCTCTTCCATTTGGTGCCATTGCTGACAACATGAAATGGGAAGTGGTTTCTTTGTTAAGTAACGCCCTTTTATAATCAATTGTCTGCTGGACACCTGTTTAATGAATAATTAGAGTCACCTGTAGTTGAATTGTTGTTAATTAGGTTATCTAAAATTTAACTTTGCTCCTAAGGCTGGCCATACATTATACAATTATCTTCCAATTTTCTGCCCAATTTCCTTTAGATTTACCTTCAACTGTGTAGTGCAAGGGCCTGCCTAATTGGATACAACTGAAAGTGTTGTTTAGGTTTGTCCTCCTATTATATGGTTTTTGGTAAATCTAAACCACAAATATCCAGATAATTGTATAATGTATGGCCAGCCTAAGACTTTCATTGGGGTGTATTAGTTTTGCAACATGGTCTTGAATGAATTTGTTAGGAACAATACTGCTTCGTGTGTGAAAATTAACAAATCTTGTTTGCAATCAATGGCCCACATTTGTGGGAGTATTTTGTAGTATAGTGTGCCATGCTGAGCGCTGTATATTATATATAACACAATATTCTGCTGTAAGCCAGCTGCTGTCCAGTCAGGAAAAGACAGTAATATTTCTTTTAGTTCTTCTAGCCTAGGCAAACATGATTGCAGGTGCCTATTTCCGAAAGTATCTTAAATAACCCTTTGCCATTTTCTCCACCCTCTTTGTTCAATATACAAGTAAGATATTAAGGATCCAATGGGTGAGTCATTCATTTATAAACGTGCAAAATTACTTATAATTCACTTAGTTAATCTCTCCTTCTTAAGCACCTTATTTTCCTGTGAGCATATTTCCCTACAAATCTAATAAAACAGTGTGGAATTTTGTCTGTAAATAGGAGACTACCACTAAAATAGTGCAGAAACAGAAGAAGACACATTTAGAATTATGTATGTGTTCATACACAAAAAGTAAAATGTTAAAGGAAGCTGTACTGCCTACAGTAATTTACACTGTTCAGTTGATCTGCATACTGTACCTTTAGTTGTAAAACAAGATCCATCCTATACCTGCACAAAGGGCTGATGTCATTTAGTATTAAGGCTGTTATAATATCAATACCGTTGGAGTCGTGTGTCACGATGCAGGACTGTAAAACAAAAAAGTCAAGAATTTATATATAATGTGTAAATAAGCTATTAGGAACATGACAGACAAATAATAGAATGAGTTTTAAGCTAGCCATACAGAAGCTGAAAATTACAGATTTGCTACAAAACTTTGTCTCACAACTAGTACAATTTTTTGGGGTATATATGATGATATTATTATTCAGGATTTATATAGCGCGAACAGTTTGTGCAGTGCCTTACAAATAATATGAAAAGTTCTGTACTCTAGAAGGAATAAGAATCCCAAAAATCAGAAAATGTAATACTTACCTTTCTTTCCATAATTTTCTTTTCTTGATGCCTATCCATGGCAGCATACGTATAGTATGTCAACCCACAGGACCAATTTAACTCTATAAGGAAAGTGAAACCCCCTTCACCCCATTCTCGTAACTAGACTTAGCCACCAGAATAAGGAAAGGGCATATGCTACCATGGATAGGCACCAGGAAAGCAAAATTACAGAAAGTTAAGTAATTAAATCTTCCATTTTCCTGGTGCCTCCATGGCAACATACATGGTAAATAACTTGCTACCAGGGAAGGAATTTGCTGCAAAAAATACTTTCATAGAAATTACAAAACAGAGAACTCTAAAGTTTTCTTTCCAAAATCTCAAGGGTCTAGGCTGTAGTGAGACATAAACATGGCTTCCCAACAGATCACCTCCAGTGAAACGTTTGCCAAAGCTACCCACGAAGAAGAGATTCCCCTGGTCGAAAACCCACTCTTGACTGTAGTGGTATATTGATGGAACCTTAGGCTGGTGAATTGGTTGGAGAACCACCCTTTCAGAGTAGAACATGATTTAGGGTTCTTAAAATCCCAGGGCTTGATTCTGCGGCCTGAGGTAACAGCTACCAAAAAGGCTGCTTTATGTGTGATGTCTTCCAATGAACAGCTCTCAAATTCAATACTAAAGCTAGGTCCCATTTCAGATAAAAAAAAAGTTTTCTTGGCAGTCAGAACTGCCTTGAGGAAATGTTCTACCATGGGTTTGAGAGCCTACCTGGTATGTGTAAGTGCCGACAGGGCCGAAACGTGCACCTTCAAAGTGCTAGGTCAAAGACCTAGACCCAAATCCAAGCCTGTCTTTAGGAAATGAAACCATTGTGGACTTCCAGACATTCAGTTTTGCAACCAGTAAGAACTTCTGCCAGAACGTATTTTTATCAGTCTCATTCGCATAAGTCTTCCTTGCTTGCAATAAAGTCTAAATAACTTGGTAGGAACAGCCTAAACTCTCCTGTCTCTTCTTCTCAATGTCTAGACCCTCAAATTCAGCAACTCTGGATGAGGATGGATGAAGTCTCTGAGTCATTAGGTCTGGGACGCTGGGAGAGGCAGAGGCTCACAAAGAGATAGATGAGTTAATAGCATGAACCATGGCCTCCTCAGCCAATAGGGAAATATTGCCAAGACAGCTACTCTCTCCCCTACAAACTAATGAATTAGTCTCAGAATTAATGGAACTGGGGGGAAAGCATAGGCTAAATGGAACCTCCAATGCTGGGCTAGAGGATAGGCATCCACCCCTGCTGACTCCTGGCAGACCTTCTGTACCTAGTGAAATAAGGATTGGCTTTGGCATTCAGAGTCGAGGCAAAATGATCAGAGGGTATCCCCACCTCTGAAAAATCCAGCTGAATGCTTCTTGGTACAGTGCCCTTTGATTGTTGAAGATGAAGTTCCTGGATGAAAAAACCTCCAGGTGATTTTGAAAAGCTGGAATGTAGGATGCTATGAGATTGACCTAGTTCTCTTCAGCCCATGATAAAATCAGAGAAATCTCTGTCATTACTGATCTGCTGTGTGACCAACCTTGATTCTGTACATAGACCACAGCTGCCCTGTTGTCCATTTATATCAACAATGACCTCTCCCTGAGAAAGGGAGCTACAAGTGATATGACCATCCAAGTCACCCTGAGTTCTAGGATGTTGGAGACTATATTCACAGTCTTGAATTGCCATCGCCCCTGAACCATCCTGTTCCTGTAATGTCCCAACATAACTGATTTATTGGTTATAAGAATGGTCCAGGAGGTGGGGCCAAGGTGGCAGTAGTTCTAAAGATTTTTGGACTTTGTCTGTCACCAAAGGCTGGATTTCACCTTCAGGGTAATAATTATTCTTTGGGTTAGAGACCTTCTTTTCTACTGGGTTAGAAAACCATGCTGGAAAATCCTTTGGTGTTAATGCGCCCCCTTGACCAGCATGAGGCGAATGTTCCCAGGAGGCTGAGACATTCTGACACTGTCACAGACCATCTTTCCAGGGCACTTTTAACTTTCCATCTTCTGGGGCGGAGAGACACTGATTGGCTTTGGGCGTTGAACAGAGCACCTAAATAGACCATCTCTTGGGTGGGTATGAACGGACTCTTAGCCTGATTGATTATCCAACAAAAGCTAGTTAAGGTGTTCATCACCTCTTCCAAACTTCTAGCAGTGTTTTCCGGCATTGAGACAAAAACAAAATATCGTCTAGATAATGCAGAACTCCGATCCCTTGTTTTCGTAGTGGGGCTAAAACTGACAATAACACCTTTTGTGAAAAAGCTTGACACTGTTGATAGACCAAAGAGGAGACACTGGAATTGAAGGTGGATTTTGTCTACCTTGAATCTTAGATATGACTAGAACTGGAAATGGACAGGAATATGCCAGTAGATGTCTTAGAGGTTGACAGAGACCATCCAGTCGCCCAGCTGGAGCGCTAAAATTAATGTGTTCAATGATTCAATCTTGAATCGTTCCATAAGTATAAACCTGTTTAGCCTTTTTAAATCCAACACCGGCCTCCAACCTCCTATCTTTTTCCATACTAAAAATACCAGGGAATAGAAGCCTGAGTACTTTTCTGATTCTCAAACCGGTACTACCGCTCTGTGCTGGATCAATGTTTGCACATACTGTATTGGTGCAACACCTTTGCTTTTTTGCTGACCTGGTACTGCTGGGAGAAAGGAAAGAAGGAAGCTTGAGAAGGGTGTCACCTGAATCTCCAAAAAAGGCCCTGCTGAATAGTGGAAGCTACCCACTGGTCTGCACATCCTTCCACCCAAACCTCAGTGAATGCCTTTAGTCGAGCACCCACTGGACAAACCTGGGTGGGCAAGGTGTCAAAACGATTTTTGGTTGTCCTGCACAGAGGTGGCTGTCTTTGACTTTGCCATCTTTACGAAAGTAATTTTTGAGCCATACCAACCTCTTCTCTTCTATATTCTATGCCAGTTTGATAGCTTTTGTCTCCCTTCACTTCTACTGGAAGGGGGTCTTTGCACCAAACTTTCTTCTTCTATTCCTGTCCTGGGGAATTAGGCCACTCTTACCACCAGTAACCCTGTTGATTGTTGTATAGCATGTGGCATCATGTCTGCTTTAAAGAAAGATCAGCTGACCACAATATTAGCTAGAGCACCGTCCTTGCTGTTGTTGAATATAACATTGTTTTTGCTGAGCATCTCAACATATCTATGAAAGCATCTGCAACAAAATCAACAGTGGTGCCCACATATCAGGTGGACTCAGGATCAAAGTCAGAGGAGGATGAAGATGTTTCAGAAGATACAGTACCTCTACATTTTTCAAAATTTCTGTAATTGAGCCCTTCATAGTGGTAGTTAATGAGCCAATTTCAACTCATCTAGAGCCTTAATTATTTGGTCTGTATCAATTCCCTGCCTGAGAGAGCTAGCTCAATATATTCTATCCAGGACCTAACTGCTCCAGATACTCAGGTGAGTGCAAAGGCCGGCTTGCAAGCAACCTAACCCCCCACCCCACATATGTTTTCTTAAGATCTGCATCAATCTGCCGACCAAGATGTCCCTAAAGGAAACAGTGTCTTCCGGAGGCAAGGTCGTGTTCCAGAATCAAAGAACTATACATCAGGAAAGGTATAACTTGTGAAAATTATTATATACCACTGGCCCAATGTCAGCCTTTTTCCATTCCTCCAGAATAAGTTCTCTAATTTCTTCCATCAAAGGGAATGTGGGAATTTTCTTTTTGAGATGAGGAAATTTTTTTTTTTTTTTGCTGGAGACTCTAGCCTCCTCCCATTGTGTGGCCTCTCTAACTACCACTATAAAAGGCTCAATTACACAAAAGCTGAAAGATGTAAGATGTATAGGTATTTCTGAAATGTAAGGTACGTGTCCTTATCTTAAACATCAGCAGCTACAGTATTTGTAGCTGCTGACTTTTAATTTTTTTGGGGGGGAGGCCCGGAGATCCTCCTTAAATTCCTGCACTACCCAATTATTTTTGCCAGCAAGTATTACTATACTTGCTGAGCTTGTTTTTCTTATAGATATCTATAATTTAATACCTGTGATTTGACCTAATCAAAACTAGTGTTGTAGGGTGTAGAAATATGTCAACAGACCTCCTGATGATACCGCCATACCGAACAACAAGACAAAAGAAGAACTGAGGTAAAAAGAAAAATGAGCTAATAATTGCTCTGATGCCTACTGTAGGAATCATGTATGGCTCTGGTTCAAAGTCCAAGTATGATCATAGGTTACACAACAGAAGGGCATGTCTGTGTGTATAAGAGAAAAAAAAGATTTCTTTGTAGTTTGACTTCTAACATCTGACTTCCTTGAAATGTGTATGACAAGCCAGGTATGTAGCAGATCTCTATAATGCTGCTCATGCTGTGTTGCCTACCGTCCATTACTTTGCAGACAGATATTTTTGACTGTCTGTGATGTCCGTATGCACTTCCTGTAAAAGAAAGCTTTCTTTGCTCCCATCTTCAGCAACCAGCTGTCAAATGTAGTACCTCCATGCCACCCCCAGCTAATCACTGCCCTTCATAAATGTCCCAGGAGACTCTGGCATTAGAAGGTTGTGTCATGTAACAAACTGCCTATTTACATAATTCTGAGCCAGAAACATAAATGAAGCATGCTACAATACTTCATGTTATTACAGTGATTACCAAATATATTTATATACGTGCACACAT